TCCTACTCCTTAAAATGAGTTCTGCAGAGAGCTAAACTCATCCATATTCTGTTCATTTTTTTTTTTTGTATCAATGTGCGCAGACGAATGTTTCTGGTAGCAAATGACCTGGAGATTTTATAAATGGTAGAGATTACAATGTTGGTATTTCAGAAGCTTCTTTTCCTAATTCTTCTAAGCTAGGTGAAGGGAGTAGGCAGCACCCAAACAGCCAATGCCCACTCAGCTCATCAGAAGAAATACTCAAGCCACCTTTAATCTATCCTTTCCACCAGTGATTTTTGGTACCCCCATTTGCTGCTGCAAATTCCTAGCTTTTCAGTTCTTCTAGCTCAGGAGCATCAATTACATAATTCTTCTTTAACTACACTTCCTCAGTAAGATATTAATATGTTCCTCAAATCCAATGGTCACATAATTTAATTTCTTCCCTTTTCCTATTCTAAACTAACCATCTCCAGCAGCCATATCCAGTTATATTTCTAAGTAAACCAGTTTTCAAAAACATAGCTAAATTTCACTGTATGCTTTGAAGTCCTGATATTTGTAACTTTAGATTATTAATGTAGACTAAAGCTTTGATAGAAATATAAACTCATATAGGCTATTTTTTTAAAGTTTATATCACAAAATACAGCCATTTTAACTGCATCTCAGGTCTCCTATATCAAGAACCCAACATGTTTTTCCATCTTAATGGGATGCCCTCCGTTACCTACAAGTCCCCTTTGTTACCCACCTCAAATGTAGAAAATATCCTCTCATCTCCTGGGCCTGTTTAACTTTCAGGCAACTATCCTTACTTCATCATACATGAAATGTACTATGCTGCAATTATTCATCTCCCCCACACTTATCAGTGTCACTGAACCATCTTTTTTTTATTTTAAGTTCTGGGATACGTGTGCTGAATGTGCAGGTTTGGTACATAGGTATACATGTGCCATGGCGGTTTGCTGTACCTATCAACCTGCCATCTAGATTTTGAGCCCTGCATACATTAGGTATTTTTCCTAGTGCTATCCCTCCCCTTTGGTCTACACTTAGATCCCCTCCCTAACTTACTTGTGGCCATCTAAAGACAATTTCTTATATTCTTTTTTCTCTCTGACACTCTCGACCTTGTCTTGGTAAATCTGCCATTTTTATCTTAAGGTGTAATTGATCCTAGTAGTATTAGCATGGTGGGCTGCAGGCAGTAAACAGAGAGCGTGCAGAGTAGAAGCTGAGAGGACCAAACTTGATTTGGGTTGACCTCATGTGTAGTCATCTAATAATAAAACCTCAAAGTCCAAGACAACTTGGATTCAGTTTCCTTATAGGCTAGTGTGAATAAACAGAAGGTCTACTCTTTTAGGTGGAATTATGGGATTCGTATTGCCTGTGCATTGATGGCATGTAAGTGGTAGCATCTTAACCCAAAAAGAAGTGGGGGAAAATGAATTTCAAATTGAAACAGGACCCTAGCCAGTGACTCTACGTAGTAGACAGAGTTCAGCCCATCAGGAAGTGAGGATTGGCTAGTACTAGGCTGTTGTTTGGCCAAACCAGATGCCAGAGTTCAGCACACATAGCTCCAGGCCCAGAAGTTCCTGTAATATGAGTCAGACTTGGAGCATGAGTCCCATCACATGATTGGCTGACCAAGAGAAACTGTGGAAAGGGTATCAGTCAATTATCCCACGGGTCCACTTCCAGGGTCTCACATGAGATCTGCAACATTGATCAGCAGGTGAATTTCAAATCTCAGCTTCAGTGGAAAACGCAGAAAGTAGGTAGAAGGCAGGTAGCTACAGATGGGGTAAAATAGGCCATACCTAGAGAGTTAGAGCCTTCTGGGCTGGTCTATATTTTAATATTTTAACCTCAATTCTGGAGAAAAACAATGTTTGCCTCATTAATTCTCCTGGTTCCTTTGAAAAATACTTACTTTTTAATTAATTTTTTATTTACTTCTTCCTTATTTTCTTTGTTGATCTCTTCATATATATGCTTCATTAGTCATAATATGGGTACTGTAGTCACTTCTACCTTACAAATTCTGCTGAGTATTAAAATGACTAAATGTTTAAAAGGTCTTACATTTAGCATAATGCCAGATACATACCCCTCAGTATGATGACGATTATAAATATTAATATCAATATCTGTTCCATACAGATTATAAATACCAGCTGTCAATTTAGTAAGTCTGTAACCAGGCTTCATGCCAAGTTGACCATTTACTCAGTTTTAACTTAGATACCTTTTTGATGCATAAGTCTAATGGCTATTTTTATTAGATTCCTTTTATTTAAAGAGTTGTCTGATTTGTCATCCATTAATTTAGAATTTGCTAGTTACTAAATATAGAATTTCATGTTTTTCAGTCCTAAATATTTAAGAGATTTACTGATATTCTAGAGAAAAATGAATGTTTTTTTAAAAGCTATAAGTCTGATATTTAATAATAAATTCAATTTAGTTTAGTTCTAGAATCTGGAGAAGAGCAGTATCTGTTTACTGGCAGCTTTCTTTGCAATGAACTTCTTTAGCCTCTGATTTCTTCTAATCAAATTTTGACTGATGTATTTCATGAAAAAAAGGCACATGCAATGCTTATTTTTCATAGTAAAATCCATTGATTTATAGCTGTCCACCTATATAAACGTCATGTTCTAAGGGTTTTTAATTCATTTAAGGAAACAAGAATATAGTCTAGGAAAGGAAGGTAAAGCATTTCATAATTTATGAGGTACGTACTGGGAAGAAACATATCGTGCTAAAACAAATGCTTTCCTATGAAAACAGAAAGTATCAGGGGAATTATAATAGAATTATTTGTTTATTTTTTAAAATATATTATATGTATATTTAAATACATAATATTTTAAACAAATATTTGTTTAATATTTGTTTATAAATCTAATTTTTTAAACCTGAAATAAATTACAATTTAAAATATAACTACCCTACAGTTTAAAATGGTATTCACTGCAGTATCATGTCTATATCCTCCAGGGTAGTGCCTGGATGATCAGTGCAGTTTACAACTGGAGGGGTGGAGTAGACATTCACATTATCCTCTATGGGACTAGATTCCATGCCCAGAATAGTGCAGTGCACAATGTGTACAGCTGTGCTCAGTGGCTCTAGATATGGCAGACACACTCATAATTAGTGGCAATCCTAAATTCCTGCGGCATCCAAATTGTTCATTCCACAAAAAGAAAAAACAAGTACAAATATTTATGGACTGCCTTCTGTGCACCATTAAAATTACTACAATGCCTAAGAAAGAATTCCTACCCGAAAGGAGCACAAAGGGAAAGTCAGAAAGATGAACAGTAAAATTGAATGTGATACAAGTATTCAGTTAGGGAAATGCACAAGGTACAATAGGGCAAAAGAAAGGGGACATTCAATACAATCTGGGACTTCAGAAAAGAGTTACTAAAAAATACGTCACATGGGCTCAGCAGTGAGAAGGAGCAGGAGTTTGCAAAAGAAAAAGAAATGACCAGGCATTTCTAGAGATAGAAACATCCTGGGTAAAGTCATAGGGGCAGGAAATATCAGGGTATATGGCAGAAGACATAAGCAACTCAAAACTACTTAAGCATAGAACATAAAGGCAAGTGTAAAGAAACATGAAGCTAGAATTAAGGCAGGTGGGTGAGATATAAATAGAGTCAGAAAATCCAAATTAGAAGCTACTGCAATAGCCCAGATAAGAGAGGCTGAATGCTGAAACTAGGATCGAGATGGCAAGAATGAAAAGGAGGGGACAGATTGGATAAATATTCATCATTTATTCATTCCTCTGATATTTGCTGAGTTTTAAGGACTATGATCAATATGCCTCTGAATTTATCAACCCAGTCCCTGTCCACATGGCAGATGCAGTCACATAAGGGAGATACACGGAAGGCAAAATTGAGGATTAAGTGTCTAACAGATTGGAAAGTAAGTAAGTGAAAGCCAGGCAGGTCAACTTCTGGATTCTTGGTGGGCAACAGCTAGATGTGGCCCATTCTCTAAAATCGGTACTCCTGTGGAAGGAGAGGACGACAACGAGTGCGGGAATGGGCACATCGAACTGGAAACACTCAAACCATGACATTTAAAGAGTAATTTCAGCATTGAATTGTGCCAAAAATATAAAGAAATACATAAGTCATACATACTGTGATGGTTAATTTTAGGTGTCAACTTGACTGGCTTAAGGGATATCCAGATAGCCAGTAAAGTTTTATGTCTGGGTGTATCTGTGAGGATGTTTCCAGAAAAGATGAGCAATTGAATTAGTAGACTGAGTTAAGAAGATGGCCCTCACCATAGTGGGCAGGCATCATCCAAGCTGTTGAGAACCTGAACAAAGAGGCGGCAGAGGGAAGGTGAATTCTCTCTCTTCAGGAGCTGGGACACCCATCATCTCCTGTCCTTGGACATCAGACCTCCAGGTTCTCCAGCCTTCAGACTCTGGGGTTTGCAGTAGCAGCCCACGAAGTTCGCAGGATTTTTTGTCCTCACACACCTTCCTTAGCTCTCTAGCTTGCAGACAACATATCATGGGTCTTCTTGGCCTCCAAAGTCATATGAGTCAATTCCCATAAGAAATCCCTTCTTACATATCTCTCTATATACATATAGGTTTTTTTTCTCTGGAGAATGCTGAATAACATACTACATATATATAAATACATAAAACTACTATGAGGTTTCTGCTAAACAAAAAACCTGCTAGATAGAGCTCTTATGAATGGATGCAGTTATTCAGAGCTGAATTGTGCATGCAGTATTTCATTTAAGGCTACACTGATATTTATGGCAATAAAAAGATGTTTAATTTAAAATGACAAACTTATAATTTAAAGCAATAAAAAAAATACACAAGAACCCCTGACTCCATGGCAAGATTGAACTGCAGCCTCACAGCATGAGACACCGGGAAAAAATCTGTTCTTGTGCGTAGGCTGGACCCAGACCAGTAGGCGATTGCATCTGGGCAAGTTCTGTGAATGAATTAACATTTTCTATTTAAACAAATGTTCTCTAAAAAGTCGTTTTTGTTATTTTACTTTCAGCTGTTTTCAAGGATTATTCAGATTTTTTGAATTCAGGAATTCACTTGAAGTATTTAACAGATCATCCAGCTTCTTCCCAGCCTAATTTTCCTAATAAGTGGCATTTTAACCTACCTTCTTCGAGAAAAGAGAAATAACTTCAAGGAGAAAGAAAGTACACAGTAAGCTGATACAAACAGTCCAGAAAGTGCTTCACAACTTGAAAAATATCTAAGAATGAAATTTTATATTTTGATGGTAAAAAAAAAAGCTGGTTCCAAAAATAATTATGCCTTAATATGACACAAGTTCATACAACCATATGAAAAATATAGACTGTCACATACATACTTCACAGACGTTTCTTAACAGTAAAATCAACCACAATGAACATACTCATCATATTTATGGCTTTTGCCAAATTGGGGCAGCAATCTGTTTAAAATGAGAAAAAAAGTACTGAATTTAAGTTTCCGTTTCTAATCTGAAAATAAGAGGGTTGACCTAATTGTCTCGAAAGTAACTTCTCACTAAAAAAGCCTACTATTCTAGTTTGGTATTTTGGTATTAAACTAATCTTTCTAAACTAAAGCTTCTAAACTTTGTAAATTATTAACAGTAATTTGCTCTATGTAAAATGTTAAGACTTTTTGTAGGTTTATTTACACTTAAAATGTTCTATTTTTAATCATGCAAAATTGATATGTTATTTTAAAAAGTTCCAAGATGTTAAATGCCAGAGTGTATTTATTCATTCATCCCTTGTGCATCCCATGCACCCCATCATATTGAGCCATTTATTTATTCATTCATTGGTTTAAATATTTATTGAGCATATGCTGCATATCTAGCACTTCAAAGGCACTAATGAAAGGGAACCACAAGGCACATTTTCTTCCCTTTTCCCTTAGAAACTGGTTGGATGGGAAATTCTTTCTTTCCTTCCTTCCTTCTTTCTTTCTCTTTCTTTCTCCTTCCTTCCTTCCTTCTTTCTTTCTCTCTTTTTCTCCCTCTGTGACCCAGGCTGGAGTGCAGCGTCACAATCTCAGCTCACTGCCACCTCCGCCTCCCAGGTTCAAGTGATCCTCCTGCTTCAGCCTTCTGAGTAGCTGAGATTGCAGGCACAAGCCACCACTCCCAGCTAATTTTTGTATTTTTAGTAGAGATGGGGTGTCGCCATGTTGGCCAAGCTGGTCTTGAACTTCTGGCCTCAAGTGATCTTCCTGCCTTGGCCTCCCAAAGTGCTGGGATTACAGATGTGAGCCACCATGCCCAGCCTGAACAGGAAATTCTTGAATGGTGCTTAACCATGTACAGAAACAGTCTAAGCATTCATCACACACAAAAAATAAATTGGAAATTTTACGATGCAAAATATTAGTGTGTCTTTGTCCATAATTTCAGAGAAATACAAGTGAAAGAGTCAATTAAGGTAATTGAATGATGTGACTTGTCAGGGATTCTCTGCCAAGTGCATCTCAAGAGAAGCCAGGAGTGTGGATTGGTAAAGAGGAAGTGGGGATCTGGGGAATGAAAACCCCAACATAGAGGCTGCAGGGAGCCTGGCTTTTGCAAGGTCTGGGGAAGCAGTATCTGTTGTCCTATTCTCTCATTGTCTTTATTCTGTATCTGTCTAACATTCACCTATCAGAAGAATCACTTAAGAACTTTATTATGTTTACTGTGAACGGCAGACACTCTTTGCTGTTTTGACTTTTTATAAAATGCTCCACGATAACTGCTTGTAAAAAAGTTTTATTTAATATGTCAATGACCTTTGCATGATAGCTCTTGTCTGACTTTTCACCTATTATTCCATGAACATTTTCTATTGTCAATTTTTAAATGTTAGGGAAAAAACCAAACAAACTAGTGGCTTGAGCTTCAAATCTAGTTATTCCATTTTCTGTTAACCAGCCAATCACTACCATACTGCCACCTAGTGGGCCATAGCAGCAACCTCCACGATTGACAGAAATTAATTCAAGTAAGCTCAAATCTAGGATTCTTCAAAATTTCTGCTTTTGCATGAGTTGCTTGGAATACTCAAATCATCTTAACATAAAAACGATATCATGAATGGTTGTTAGGTTTCCAGCTTGCTCACAAAACCATTGATCCCACAATGCACTTGGTTTTGTTTTGTCTTTTTGAGACAGTCTCACTCACTCTGTTGCCCAGGCTGGAGTGCAGTGATGTGATCTTGGCTCACGGCAACTTTGCCTCTCGGGTTCAAGCGATTCTCCTGCCTCAGCCTCCAGAGTAGCTGGAACTACAGGCGTGCATCACCACGCCCAGCTAACACAACGTACTTTGAATGAACACGTTCCATGTGTGCTAACCTATCTGTAGTCACAGCTTCGCGGAGGCTTCTTGTGTCATCTCACGTGTACCTTCTGCTCTTACTCATCCTACAATCTATGAGAAAATGGCTGATTCCCAGCCTTCCACTCCGACCTTGACCTGTACTCTGGCTCTGGCAGAAAAGGACCTTCCATGGGGCCTGTCTCTCTCTGCCTGCTGCTGGTTCCTGAAGCTGTGGCTCAACCAACAGCCATGCTCTGCTTCTGTCCCTGTCCCAGTTCTGGAGCAGCTTCTACCCCACCCTTGCCTGGCTCTTATGGATGCCTCACTCCAGCCTTGCCTTGCTGATGGCTCAGTTAAACCCTCACTAATGAGCTCCCATAGTGACTTTCACCCTGTGGCTGGATCAGGGCCTTACAGCTTCTCTTAACCAGAGAGGTAGTTTTCTTCTCCTCTATTTCCCTTCTCCAAATATTCCTAAATGTATGATGAATTAGTACTGTGGTTGCCTGACCCTAGGGTAAAGGGCACACAGTAGCTTAAGGAATTCCTCATTCTTCTGGTTTTTTGTGATGGTCTCTGTCCTTGAGTTGAGGCCTGAACATATGTAGAATATGTCTAGCTAAAAAGAGGCTGCCTTACAGTCTAGACTTTTTTTCAAATTTTATCTAAAGGTGTAAAATATGTAATGGATATATAGGTAATTTGGCCAGGCAGTGTTTTAGTATCAAGTTTACTGTTTGTTTTTCTTAGCCATGTCAAGTCTACAAATATTTCTATTTTTCCCTTCTGGGTATTTTTTGTTTATTTGTTTTGCTGTGGCTTTCATGCACTTTACTTTTACATGTTAAACTTATGTGTTAAAACCCCACAATATTTGGTTGTTTATTCTGCCTCAAGCCATTGATTATATTTTAAAGATATTTAATAAGAAAAAAGTCTCTATATTTTCTACATGCCATTTATAATTCTCTTCATTATATTGTATAGGGCCAAATTTCCATCTAGTATCATTTGCCTTCTGCTTGAAAGACTTCTTTCAACATTTTTTGTAGGGCAGGGTCTGCTGGTGATTAATTCCTTTAACTAATTTGTGCCTTCATTTTTGCAAGATGTTTTCCACAGATAAAAAATTACATATTGACCAAAAATCTAGAAGAAAAGGATAAATTCCTGGACACTTACACCCTCCCAAGTCTAAACCAGGAAGAAGTTGAATCCCTGAATAGACCAATAACAAGGTCTGAAAATGAGGCAGCAATTAATAGCCTACCAATCAGAAAAAGTCCAGGACCAGACGGGTTCACAACCAAATTCTACCAGAGGTACAAACAGGAGCTGGTACCATTCCTTCTGAAACTATTCCAAACAATACAAAAAGAAGGAATCCTCCCTAACTAATTTTATGAGACCAACATCATCCTGATACCAAAACCTGGCAGAGACACAACTAAAATAAAAAATTTCAGGCCAATATCCATGATGAACATTGATGCGAAAATCCTCAATAAAATACTGGCAAGCCAAAACCAACAGCACATCAAAAAGCTTATCCATCACAATCAAGTCTGCTTCATCCCTGGGATGCAAGGCTGGTTCAACATACACAAATCAATAAGTGTAATCCATCACACAAGCAGAACCAAAGACCAAAACTACATGATTATCTCAGTAGATGTGCAGAGAAGGCCTTCGACAAAATTCAACAGCCCTTTATGCTAAAAACTTTCTATAAACTAGGCATTGATGGAAAGTAGCTCAAAATAATAAAAGCTATTTACGTCAAACCCACAGCCAGTATCATACTGAATGGGCAAAAACTGGAAGCATTCCTTTTGAAAACTGGCACAAGACAAGGATGCCCTCTCTCACCACTCCTATTCAACACAGTATTGGAAGTTCTGGCCAGGGCAATCAGGAAAGAAAAAGAAATAAAGATTATTCAATTAGGAAGAGAGGAAGTCAAATTGTCTCTATTTGTAGATGACATGATTGTATATTTAGAAGACCCCATCATCTCAGCCTAAAATCTCCTTAAGCTGATAAGCAACTTCAGCAAAGTCTCAGGATACAAAATCAATGTGCAAAAATTACAAGTATTCCTATACACCAATAGCAGACAAGCAGAAAGCCGAATCAGGAGTGAACTCCCATTCACAATTGCTACAAAGAGAATAAAATACCTAGGAATACAACTAACAAGGGATGTGAACGGCCTCTTGAAGGAGAACTACAAACCACTGCTCAAGGAAATAAGAGAGGACACAAGCAGATGAAAAACATTCTAAGTTCATGGTTAGGAAGAATCAATATCATAAAAATGGTCATACTGCCCAAAGTAATTTAGAGATTCAATGCTATCCATATCAAGCTACCACTGATTTTCTTCCAGAATTTGGAAAAACTACTTTAAATTTCATATGAAACCAAAAAAAAGCCCACATAGCCAAAACAATCCTAAGGAAAAAAAAAAAGCTGGAGGCATCACACTATCTGACTTAAAATTATACTACAAGGCTACAGTAATCAAAACAGCATGGTACTGGTACCAAAACAGAGATATAGACCAGTGGAACAGAACAGAGGCCTCAGAAGTAATGACACATATCTACAACCATCTGATCTTTGATAAACCTGACAAAAACAAGCAGTGTGGAAAGGATTATCTATTTAATAAATGGTGTTGGGAAAACTGGCTAGCCATATGCAGAAAGCTGAAACTGGATTCCTTTCTTACACCTTATACAAAAATTAACTCCAGGTAGATTAAAGATTTAAACATAAGACCTAACACCATAAAAACCTTAGAAGAAAACCTAGGCAATACCATTCAGGACATAGACATGGGCAAGGACTTCATGGCTAAAACACCAAAAGC